CCCCAAAACCCCAAAACCCCAAAACCCCAAAACCCCTTATTAGTATCCACAAATTGAACTTTTTAAAACATTGAACAAAAAGACGGCACTAGGAAGATAATTGATTCAATAGCGAAATCTTGGCCTTTAAGGAGTCAAGCAGCATTGTGTCCACCTCATGACTTTGCTCCATTTTCTCTTTCTCGCTTTGATTCTCAAGAATTCTGCCTTCAATTTGCATTGCTTTCCTGGTGACTTCTCGAGCTCGCTGCTGGACTTTGTAAAAGTCATCATCATAGTCTATACCTCTGATGCTGATATTGCACTTGTTGCGCTTCTTCCAACGGTTAGAGGGCTTGGTTTCCCTCTCAATCCTTCGATGGAGCAGGTAATCATAACTCTCATTATGAAGTTTAGGATACTTTGAGCTTGAAAAAGAAATATCCTTGTTAGTCTATAAAACCTTAGTCATGGAGAACCATAAATTTTAGAAGCCAAATTAGGGATTCATATATAATAAAAACTTCTTGGAAATATTGAATGAGCTCTGGAACAATTTCATTTCTCAAAAGTCTGAAATGTATAGACGCTCTACTCTGACAAGGAGAATGAAGGGTTAAAAATTTCAACTGAAAATATTAAGTTTACCTTAAAAATCTTAATGCGAGTCTTACTGGTAAGTCGGTTACTACTTCGGTTATCATCGATTAACAAAACCGGTCCATTCTGAGTAATCTTCCTTTTCTTATTCCTTTTCTTTATTTTTCTGTAACCACTTGACTGGTTAAGAGACTGATCGAGGTTCTTATTGACTCTGGAGCTGTTAAATGTACTAACTATAAAGTATTAAAGGAACAGCAATGCAGAGGCTTACTCCCTGTTGGCTTCTGGTTTGTATAGTTCCTTCTTAAAACTCTATGTTCCAGAATATCATGAGAAATTTTCTTAGGGTCTATGTTCTCTGTACTCTTCTGAGCAGAATACACCTATACAAATCATTAGGGCTGGTGAAATTATGACAAGTGCAGAAAACAACTCATAAAATTAAAGATATAAGTCATTTTGGCTGGAAATTACACTTACTTTGTCAGCTTTTGATTGAGGAGTGTGCATATTATGAGTGTTAACCCTAGAGTCAGCCCCATTTCTGGAGTATTTTAGCTGAGAATTAAGATCTCTCTTAACTTTTCTCTTCTTACTCCTCAATTTCTTCCTGATTAAGCTGACATTTGGCTCACTAACGAGGCTTTGGCCCACTGGAGAAGAACTACATGCATAAAGTGTTTTGCTCATTACCTTTTGTTTATATTAGATCTTATCTTAACAGTATTCAGAGTAAGCTCTTTCTGTGCATTATAAACCTCTGATGCAGGCTTTTTCTTTATAGAAGGTAGAGATATATTTGGCTGAATACTTTTCTTCTTCCTCGAATTTTTCTTATAAATTTTTAATTTATCTAAAATATCAAACGAATGATTTACTTTGATTAGATCGGTTTATAGCAGCATTGATTTGGTTCTTTAGACTGGAGACCTGACTATCTTGTTCATTCCTAGTCCTTATCTCCCTCTGTCTCTTCATAAATTGCTTAAGCTTCATATCATTAATCCGTTGGGCTTCTTGATACTGCTTCTGCAACTTGAACTGCTTGTTCTTTACCTTCTGCATCTCGTCATTTTCAGATTGCTCTTTTTCCAAAATTCCAATTTTAGGGGAGTCTGTGGCTTTGGTGAAGTACTTCTCCTTGATATTTACATCATAATCTGTGTTTTTGTTCAAGTTCCTCACCCATTTCCCATACGGACTGAAGGAATTACTGTCTTCTTCAGAATCATTTTTTGAGTTCACTCTGTTCGTACTTTTTCCTTCTAAATTTGAAAATTTTAATTTTATTCCGGATATTTTAAACTATCAAGCAGATAAAGGATAACATAGGATATTCCAGAAATTTTAGAGGTAGCGAGGAAGGGTTACCTGTCTTGGTCGGACTCAAGCCTTTACCACTCTGTGCCTTTTCTAATGCGTCTTGGATCTGCTTGATTGAATGAGGCAGTATTCTCATTTTATTATATTTACCATTTGGAGTAAATTTCTTGACCAAGGAGAGCATCGATTCTATTTCTTTCCTTGTCAGTCTGCTAAAAGCAGTGTGATACATAGTTTTGTTCTGAGAATCATAGAGAGTGATCTCTTCACCTGCTCTTTGACCATCTTCTCTGATTTTAATATCATGGCTGCCATTAGTCGCATCATCGAGAATTTCTTTAACATAATCCTCGAGATCGAACTCAATTGTAGAAATATTTGAATAAAAAGTAACTCCTCAAACATTGGCTAATTTCTTAAGCAGTTCTCGTTTGACTGGGATATTACTAGCATCAGATTCCTCCTTAAAGTTAAGTTTAATCTCTTTAGCTTTGCTCTCTACATGATCAGCAGTTACATTTCCTTGCGAAGTTTCCTTATTATCATCTTTATTAACCTCCTTGGCATCATCAACTCTTTGTGAATAATTAAAGTCGGTCTTAGAGTCCTCTAACTTCTTAGATTTCTCCTCTACTTCTAGTCTTAAGTTCTGAAGGCCTTGGTCTGACATTTACAAATATATTAACTCAGACAGATAATTTTATAACACAGCTACAAAGGGGTTTTGGGGTTTTGGGGTTTTGGGGTTTTGGGG